GTCAACTTAGAGTAGTGCCTAAAGATTACTCCGTGTGGCTATAAACGACTGTTAAATGGAATGATGAATTGTTGAAGGATTTTGAAAACGGAAAACATGATAGTCATGCCGGCCCAGCATTCTCAATGTTGAAAAATGCCCCGGCACGAAGTGGTTAAGTCAGAAAAACAGCTGAGTGAAGTGGCAAATCGACTCGGCTCAACTGAGTTCTGTGGAAGCAAGGTCAGAAATGCGTGTTCTTATGTATGTTGTTTAAAATCTAATCAAGGAATAATCTCTTGGCTTAGTCGGGGCACTTTCAGTCATCTGAGATTGTTCACTTGTTACCGCATACACCGTGAGTAAGCACGAGGGTAGTAACAGAACTCGCTGTTCAGAACTACCACAGGGTTGAAAATGGCTGAGCACCACCTGTCAACCATTCCAAACACCAAACAAAGGTCAATCTAGGAGTTGCTGATCTGGACTCGATGAGCACAAATGCACGATTTCTGTTGCCTACCTTGATGCTGGTCGACTGTAATGCCTGGAAGAAGTAACGTGGAAAACCAAATGGTAATCTCATCATTCCTGCACACGCCTCAGTCAGGCAGTTGACATGCTATAAGACAGACAGAGACCGGCATTACGAGTTATCAATTGCTATTTTTTGCTACACCACATATTTTTTGGCAACTGTAGCTCAAATATGATGCACTCTGAGGGCGAACATCTCCAATGATTCAGTGCATAGTTGCACGCTTGCATATGGGCCCAAGTTTGCTAGAAACCTAAAATCCACAACTGCACTGGTATCCAACGGCAAAGTGTTTATTTTCAACAGGCAAGGAGCCACGAGTAAAGTTTTACATTCCTCATCTTACCAAATCTTCCTGCCCCCCTCCCCTGAGCCCGGGGGGGATTTTGAAGGATCTGGGCTAGGGCTCAACTATACCTGATGAGAAATGGACTGTCCGTCCGTCTGCACCAAGACGTTCTGCAGATCTTTCAAGATGGTGTTTGTCATCTGCAGTTGCTTCTTGGCCTGCTGCTTGTTGGTGCCCGTGGAGCCTTCCACTGCGTTGCAGCTGCCCAGAAGATTCCACTGCTTGTTCCCACTGCGCAAAACCAAATAAATACCGTCTTAACAATGCGAGTCTGACAACTTGTTAACTTGTACTCCGGCATTACAGTCAAGACCATCAGACGACCAGACCCAAGTCTAGACACGAGACCATTCTCAAGATCAGTCATGAGACCATGTATCAAGAAAGGATTCATGCTTTTACCACTGTGCGGCGTTACTTGCTTTGTGCCCTCTTGTGTCCACTTGTTACTGTGAGTTCAGAAATCTTAACTTGACGAATCTGCCAACCGTTTGTACACAGCAAATGGGCTCATCTACCAAAGGTGGTAGCAGCCAATCAAATTGCCAGACTCGTTTTGGCACCGCTCACACCTGCATTATAATAAATGAGTCTGACTACTTTGATTGGTGGAAATTCCAAGTCCGACTACTTTGATTGGTGGAAATCCCATATACACTCTGCAAGATCATGTCACATATGCAATTATGAACAACTACATATTACCGACGGGGGAGTCCGATTGGCTTATCCATCAAGTCAGACAGACTGGTGACATGACACACGTTGTACAATATAGGCTATCATATGAGGGCGCCCTATAAGGGTTATGCGAGCTGCCGAGTGCAACGACTGTGTACTGTATACAAACTGAAGGGATAGCTGACTGGAAAGAACAACTTAAGTCCGACTTGATTCATGTCTACTTCTCACTCGAATAGCTTGTGGCTTGAATTCAAAGGTCTTGATTACAATGCTGTGGTACACTTTCATTGATTCCACAAAAAGTTGAGTTTGCTACATACAATATGGAAGGAAATAAATCTACACACATAGCGAACTACATTTCCGGTGTGAAAATCTGCAGACATAAGTGAGTTTGAAAAAGTTCAAAACTATAGTTCAACTCACTGCATTAGGTGAGCGGATACCTTGAAACCAGACACAACAGCTCATATTAATACTCTTGAATTTTTCTGTTTTAAATCAATTTCTTCTAGACTACAACAACTTTACAGAAGGTCAAGAATTACTGTAAGCCTTCAATGTGACCACTCCATCAAGAGATTTGCTCAACAAAATTACAAGACATAAAAATGGTGTGCCAACAGGAGCAAACAATGCACAGGTCTCAAAAAGGATAACACTTCAAACAAGACTTCAAGAGTTGACTGCACATACAGTACTCATCTTGCAGACTGACAACTTACTCCAGTAATGAAACGTAATACAAATGTAATATGAAAGCTCATCTACCCATTTTGAGTCAACAAATAAATGTTTTCTCACCTGTATGCTGGATTATTGAGGACGAGGCAGTCAATTGCATGACCCAGCAGCAAACACTGTTGTTGAATTCTTTACAAACAGTTAAAAGTAAAGGTCTGTAATTAAATACTTGACAAATCATGCCAGCACCAAGCTGGCAAGAGATTGCTGGCCAGTCAGATGGTTGCGCACACTAAAATCCCCACGAATGGCAAACTAACCAACCAGGAACTCATTTCACAAACCATTCTTAGTACATGATATATTGTGGGTTTAGTCCTTAAAGAGCTAGGCTTTTATGGATCATCTCGCAGCCAGGGGTGGGGTATGCCCCCTCCCATCTCCGCCGTCCTAATCTTTCAAATATGAACGAACCTATGTATGCAGTGTGGCCCCACCCAAGGGACATGATCGTACTGTAAATTACATTCCATTTCTTGTTCCTGCACGAAATGGATTGTCACCCAACCATTCCCTTGACAAGGATACAATTTGATCTTGCTGAGTGAGTCGGGGTCAGCATCGAATGATGTCTGGTACAACCGAGCGTAACGGACACTCAACTGCTGGACCTGTGCAGCACACTGCTGCATCTATGATGCAATAGGGGAAAAAATCAAGAAATAAACAGCTGAAAACGTCTAAAATGTGTACAGAACAGCACTATACAGAACATCTGTTTTTCCACCTGATTTTTTTCAATTAACTACTGCAAGTACCAGCAGTTTTTCATTTCATTTTTACTGCAGATTTCAAAACCTGCAATAAAATCACTTTCAAATATATTATCATTAAGTTGTTAAAATCTCAAAAAGTAAAATACTTATACAGCAGACCCAGCAAGTTGTGGAGTTCACGTAAACAATAACTTTTACCTGGAAGTTAAAGCCCTCCTTTACAAAGGACTAGGAGTTACATTACCTCAGTTGCCATGTGCCCGCATCTTAGAAGCTCCTGGCCCATCGTCAAGGCAACAGCAGGAGCAATAGCAGGAGGCGGGCAGGTCCGGATGGTCGCTAGGCAGGACAGGAGGAGAAGGCAGCAATGCAACATGTCAGCCCTCAGCCTCATGAAGTCACAGTGGAACAGGAGAGGGTGGGAAGGGGTTGACGCTGCCTACAAGCAGAATATTTCAAAAAAACATTTGACTGGACCCCACAAAATGGCCACCTGCATCAGAAAGAACTGAGTTCTATGGTTGGATGTATCACATAGTTTGGCATCCTGACAGAGATGAGCATTATGTAGGTGACATATTCTATTAGGGTTCCTGACTGTTAATTTACAGGGTCAAGATTAGTTTTTAAAAGGCCTTAACTCAAAAGTAGCTCTGGCGACACCCAACCCTTTTTTGTTAGCATGGGTGACTCTGTGCAGTGACTGTGATTTAAGGTGCCCAGCTGGCACCCTATGGTGAAAATTTTGTGGGGTGTTGTTGGGTTCTTGGTGTGTCCCTACAAATAGTTTGGGTCCCCACAAAAACTATCCTACATGATGTATGTGGTTCCCGTGACAACAGTGTGGGCTACTCAAGAAAACCATGGAAAGACACTGAATGCAAGCATCTTGGAAACTGAGGTTCAGCCCCGAGTCCCTCAAACTTTAAGCTATAAAATTCACCCCTCCAACAAATCATCCCTCCAGCATGAAGCATAACGTCTATTCCTTTCACTTGAACTCTCATGGATTATGAAGCCCCATAGGATCTGCCTTACTGAATCCTGCAAAATCCTCCACAAGCCCCTAATTGATTTTGTGAGAGTGTGCCTCTGCTCACAATGACCTTGAGATTCGACAGTCCCTTCTCGTAGTGCTGCAAGGCCTTGGACAGACAAGGCATGAGGTTGTTTGACTTCTCAGTGATCGCTGCCAGGCAGGTCTCACCGAGGCAGAATTGCTCCAAGCCACAGAGCCAGTAGTAATAGTGCTCCGAGGCAACCTGGGACACAAAGGGACAATATAACAGGTCTGCAAAGTATGGAAATTGTAGCATAGATATAAAAATGAAAGTCTGCTCAAGCTTTCATAAATGAAGAAAGAAGACAAATTTCGAGATATCAATACTTCTACCAACATCCTTTGCTCATAAACAATCTAAGTTTGGTTTGTTCTACTTTGGTTGGGGGTACCTGGGCGGCAGTATGGGTTGAATCTCCAAAGATGACTTTGGGGATCGTAGAGAAAGAATGGATGCCTTTGTTGGGTTTGGCTTGGCTGGTCATGCTTGGGAAGACAGGGCACGTAGTCCGTTCCAGCCATGTTTAGTTCAGTTTGGTTTAAAGGCGATGATAGATTTAGGATTTGTTGGGTGGAGTTGAAGTTGGTCTGGTGGAACTGGATTGGATAGCTGCCTGGGAAGGGGCTTCTTGGAATCAACTAGGGGGGAATATTGAAGTGCAGCCAGATGGGTGAGCCTTCTTTTTGATTGAACATATAACTGTCTTACAACTACCTGTGTTGCTAGCTTGGCGAAGATTTCTGCCGCTGTTTCATGGCAATTCTGAGAAAGACGAATTTAAGATGAATCCAGAAATCAGAGAGGCTGAAATTTTTTTACAAAAAGAAATTTACCAAGGTAAAATATTTAACCTTTACTAACTCCTTAGGCATTCTGCTTATAAGAAACCTTCCCAAAGCATCAAAATATTCAACAATGCTCAAAAGCTATTGCCACGTTCCTTTGGGAATGGAACAGAACTCGGACATCCAAAATCTCAGGTAATAGAGAATGGGCTGGACTTTCATCCCGTCCTGAAAACTTCCAATAAACATCTGATGAAAAACTTAAGAGACACAAGTGAAGGTCTGCATTCCTATTCTACAGTCCTAACCTTTTCTTACATATGACCCCAGCAAAAATCTACTGCAACCCAATCCGAGTTGGTGAGCCAGGTAAGAGCATGGTTTGGCATAAGGTAGATTTCTTTGATACGCCTTAGCAACTCCCTACAAATGCAGTTATTGAAGATGTGTGGAATGCTCTTGTCTGGTCTGGTCTATTTTACGGTTGAGAGGCAGGAAAGAGCCAACTTTTACTCTCCAGACACACACTGGGCAGTGGATACTCACTAGTCTCGTTGCTTGGTGTGCAATGCGGTATGCTGGCCATGGGTAACGCTGTACAAGCTCCTGGATATTTTGACTGACGCTGGGGCACAATCGTCCCTTCCTGTCAGCCAACAGGAGCAGCATGGCCAAGCCAACCTGAACAGAGTGTGCGGAGAGAGCGAAAATCATGGAATCATTCAATTAATGCACATGTAACACAAAGTAGGCAATACTGATTTTCCTCAGAATGTGCACAATTGTAGCACCTTCCACTAGTGCAGGAATCCAGGGCATTCATGTCTGTATTCTCTCTGTTGATTGGTCGAGTGCATGAGCACAGGGTTCATTTATAGTAACTCAACGACTTTGGCTAAAGGACATCGGCAAAGTTGTTTCTAAAAATATTCCACCAGACAGTTTTAATTTCATTTACAAAAACTTTTGTCCAACGTCAAAATGCAAATGATTTTAAAATCCGTCTTGAAATTCTTCAAAGTCCCACTTGGGATACTGCCCGTTTCTGAACTAAAGCTGTCGTCATGGGAACAGCCCGTGAAAACCTAGGGTGTACTCCACTCGTGTAGCTATTTCCCACTGGATATGAAGACAAAGACCGCATTGATACCATTTGTATGCATGGTATGCAGCTCGGCTGGTCCCTCATGGGACAAGGCAGGACCACAAGCAGGGTATTCAGTCCTTGTGACAGACTCCTTCCCAATGAATGCAAGAGACTTACCAGCATGTTGTGTCTCACATTGCTCTCCTCGCTGTGAGATTGCTCCAGCTTGAGGGCATCGGTATACAGCTCCTGCAGGATTGGTAAATGACTGGTGAAGAGATCCTCTGGTCTCGATTCGCCGAGGGACACAAGACAACGGCACAACGCCAAACCACCCTCGCCTATAAGAAAAGTCAATGTGGAGATGTTGTATGACCTAAGTACGGTGCATAGATGTTAAACTTCTTTATGAATTTTTACCTCATATTTCAATGTTTTCACTTCCAAAGAGAAAATTGAACTATCCTAAGAAATTACATCAACAACACACTACTAGAAGCAAATACTGTTTGGAAAAACTGTAGAATGTATGAAGCTGACGATTTTCATCAATTTGAAGAATATCATCAAAGGTTCCCATTTATGTGAATATGCAATAAAATAGTTTTCCTTACTTCTGTTTATGATTTTTTGATGGGTGTACTTACAAACTAACTTCTCATCACAACTAAACTTAAATCCTAGACTGGTCGCTTAGGTGATATTTTCATTAAATTCACATAATTTTCAGTAAATTCCTTACTAGATGTTGGAGTTGATGTACTTCTCATTTGAATAAATTGCAATATTTTTTGAAAAAGCTGAAACCTTGAAAAAATATTTTTATATTTCTCTCAGACAGGACCTGGAGCGCACTAAACAAGGCACTTGGGTTTCAAATGCCGTTCTATGGTCAGGTGAAAAACTAGCCTGTTGACCTGTTAAAATATTTATTGAAAATCTGCATGCCACAGCATCTGACCTGTAGTGGATTTCAGTGACATTGTCAGTGTGTTGACCAATGCTGGAAGGGCCTCTGGGCACTTCTCACTCAAATCTCGGATACAACCAAGCACGACCTGGACAAGACAAATAACATCAAACCATCATTCCCTTGATATCGTGGAGAACTTATCAACTCTATATCAAAGCATCTCTAAGAGTTTGAATCTCTTAGCCTCTAGTAATCTGTACATATACAAATCAAGCAATAAAACTATAAAAATTCTTATGAGTATTTTCCATTTATATACTTTGAGGGCTTCTGTTGCAGATTTCGTCTCCTCTGCCAAACACTGTATGACTATATTCTGAGCTGCAAATGCTATAGGCATGTATGATAAGGCTGGCGAATCTCCAGTGTCATGGACACCAGAGCCCACATTTTGCCATTTGGCCAGGAGGGTTCTTATCTGGATAGCCGTGGCTGCCACCTTCACGTCCCAGTGTTGACTCAGTGTGCTACAGAGGGTGGCGATAGGCTCCACTAGGAGTTGAAAGAAAGATAATTTTCATGAAGGTATACACATAGGCCTATGTGAAAGGTGAACAGAAAAAAGATTTACTCATAAAGAGAAGCATTTAAGGAGAGCTGAAGGCCTCAAATTCAAATTTACTTTACAACGGATCATTCAAAGTGATCTTGACACAGAGTACAGGGACACGAGAAGTTTTCAAAACGATGTAACATTTCCCTTGTGACTTTCTCTCCAAAACAGTCTTGACAAGAAATAGCCCTCCTGATTATATGGTAAATGGGATCCACAACGATGCCCCCAAGTACAGTTGATTACCAATAAAAGGGTTCTTGGCATTCATTTACAGAGCTATCAAGCAGGAAACACTGCTCGGCAGATTTTTCTGCATTGTAAACTGGACACGTGCCAAGGCACCACTCGCGTAATTTGCGGAGTATAGTTCCTGGTCAGGCAATATACTCTGAAAATTGCTTGTTGAATTGCTTATAAAGTATTGGTTGAATTCAAATAGTTCAATTATAAAACCCTGAGAGGGTTGTTTTTTACTTTACATTTTGGACAGAGGTGTGTGTTATAAAACACACGTGGCATAAGTTGGTCTCTCATGCATATCCATGCCCCCTCCTTGGGACTGTGAGCGAAAGAAGAGGGTCTACTAGGACCTTCCTCTGGTCACTAAATGTCCCTTGGGGCACATAGATATGCACTGGTAACCTCACTGCCAGTTCATGTGCAAAACTGACCCCCTAAGCTCTTTATTTTTCACTCTGTTCACTCACATTGCTCCTGCACCAGCAACGCCGGCGTCCCGAACAGAATGGCCAGGATTCGCAGTCGGTTGGCCAGCAGGCCGGGCGACTCGCAGCCCTGGCACTGCCCGGTTAGAGAGGCCAGGTTTTCACTGGTCCACATGTGAGGGGCCTTCCGGGCAAGGAGGCATAAGTCCTGTACACAGGTCATCTGAACAGCCGTGCGGGGGTCGTGGCACAGATAGCCAAGGAGCAGGCTCACCTGCATGAAGTCAGAAGGGAATCGCTGACAACTTCATGCACAAACTATATTTGCGTGTTGGTGGAATTCAAAAATTTAAATAGACATTTGTATTATTAAAATAAAGTTGTACAAAAGTACTTTCAGTTATGCATGAGCTGATTCTGTATTGATTGATTATTACATCTTTCTTAATAAATACATTTCCCTACAAGATTCAATATTGGAGACTGACTACTATAAATAAATTGATGGAAAGTTAAAAACTTCAATAGATGTATGACATATATTCATTTAATCATATTGACAAGCACATGTGAAAAGTTGTTTGATAACGTTTAAAAAAAAACAGCCCTTACCAGAAATAATCCTTAGAAATCAAGCAAAAGCACAGCTTTGTTGGATCTTACCAGCAGATTCCCTACATGGAATCCAGCAAGGGCTCACATACAGGCCACTGAAGACACTACTTGTACCTGTGCCTCCATCTGATTGGCCGTGAAACATACCTGATCAGGAATATGAACCAATGAGGCGGCGGCTAGCTGCGATAAGGTGTGCAACGTGACAGTCAGGAAGCTCTTGGCTGGGTAGGAAGGCAGGAGATCCAGACAGAGCTGTCGGGCGAAGGCAGCGGACGGAGTGTCGTAGTGCATGTGCTTGAAGATCGGGATGAGCTTGAGTTTGATCTCGGTGGGGGTGGACAAGCCCCGGATCAGCTCGGCCAGCTTGTGACAGATCCCCGACGCAAACGTTCTTTGAGAAAAATGGTACAAAGGAGCCTCAGCAGAGGGGCATGGAGTCAAGCAGGAGTCTCTTTGATGGGTCGGCAAAAGTCCATCTAATTAGGGAAATTTGTCTACTGAATCTGAACTCCTGAAAAAAAATTTAATCTAAAGGAAAACAGGCCATCAAATGCCAAGAGTGGTCAATGCTCAGCTTTGATACACATTCAACTCTCACTATAGCAGGGTTGATGAGTCTGGCCACACTGCTTCATTATAAAAAGACTGGAAAAACTGATAAAAACAAAAAATTCAAGAGACTTGAGACTTCAGAATTTCAGTATAAGAGAGCTCTTTATATGGAGACCTTAACTGTATATCCATCTTTTAGGGCAACATGAAACGGTCGATCCAGGTCTTTTCTTTCAAAGAATTTCCAGCATTGTTTTTTTTTCCTTTACCTCTGATGTTTTCTACAAAGTTTAATTTGGGGTCCATGTTTCCTCCTCACACTCTCAGAACATGCTGTCTTCATTTTCTCTTGAATTTAGTCTCCTCATCAAGTCGAAGTTACATATGTCTCATCCTGACATAATTCCACTTTCCCACGAGCAGTCTTAAAGAGATGTTTTGCTGAATGGCGCATGAAAACGGATTTTAAAATAAGCCCGTCATGCACAGTAGTTGATGACAATTGAAGGAAAACCTTTCTTCTGAATTTCTAAGTGACATATGAAATTTCTTGAACATACACGCAATGTGTGAGCAAGGCTGGTACCTTGATTCTGCTGAGAAGCATGAGGCAGCATAGATGGCTGATTCCAGCTCCACCCTGTCGTGGGAATCTAGACCATTGTGAATGCTGTGGTGAATGTTCTTCTTCTCAGCAATAATACCCGCAATACTGCCCAAGACCCTAAGGACAAACGCAAGAAAATCTCACAGTTCATGAACGTTTTCAAGTTTAACACTCAAAAAATGCAATTTGTAAAATGAGCAGTGTGTAAAGTCTACACTTTATACAAGATTTGGAAAATAGATATTACAATATTAAAAAATTCCTAATAACAAAATATGGAGTTATATAATCCAAGCTCTCATGTTCCACAGTACAAAGTATTAACTTTGGTACAACTAACCTGAGGGTTATTGCCCTAGCAACTGGATCATTGCTATGGATGACGAAGAAGATGCGGCGGATAAACTCGTCCACATTGAGTATCTTGTCCAGATGGCGTCGGCTCTGCTGAGCAACCTTCACCACGCACAGACGAAGGAAGTTACTCCTACATCCAGGAAACAATCATGAAATGAAGGCCATGAGTCAACTGAGAACCATCGAGAACCTACAAGCATCTCATCATTCTCACGCTTGCCACAGAGCAATATATCATCACATCCAGCAGCTCACAACTTCCATCAGTATCTGCCGAGTGTGTGCGTGAGGACTGCCTTGTGGATTAAGAGCGCATAAAGTACACAGCACTCCAGGAGAGTACCTGGATTTTAACCGATTCCTGTGGTGTTAACATAAACAAAAAAGGCAGCTGCAATACATTTCCAGTAACATAAGAATCATCAAGAATATATGTTTGTCGAAACGGACTGAAAAGCCAATTTCAGTGATTTAAAACTGCAAAATGTAAAGCAGTTGATAAACGATGCTTAGATAATTTCAAAACCAATCGTCCAGTCACTGAGCAACATCAGATGTAGCGTCCAGCTTTGTACTCATGCCTACCACAAATACTTTCGCAAGTCCAGCCACAAATAAGAACGTTCTGTCACTAGCAACGTTTGTTATCATCAACCCCAAAAGCAGTGATGCCAGTTTCATCAGTTCGTGCAATAGTCGTTACCAGTGTTTTAGCCACAGCTCTCGGGTTCAAATTGGCTGTGCCGATCAGCACGGATTTTCCAAAAAATGAACTGAAATATTACTGAAAATGTACCAATTCAATCATATTTTAAGCATCAGGAAGCGTTGAGAATGTCTATCTAGCATTGTTACGAGACCTGAATGTGAAATTATGGGATATTATGTAGCCTGCCCCGGCCCTAGGCAGCGTGGACATGTTTGTAGTCTTGGCTCAAGACCAGCTGAACAGCGGTATCAATAGAGGGCACAAATCCAGTCCAGCGAGCCGCGAGAGCTCCGCTCACTGCGCTTGTTACGCTTCGCAATCCAAAAATTGACCTGGCATTAAAATAGTCCTATCTAGTTAGAACACCGGTCATTACAATCAGCAAAAAGCAACGGCAAGAGCAGCATCATTCGAAGCATTTTGAAAAAGACCAGCAACGTGAGCATCTGCAGAAGTACTGGCAGTAACTTTGGCAGTGACGGTAGGCAAAGTTAGCAGAAGTAACCTCCTATCCAGCAGTACGTGTCAGCAGCAACAGCAACCACATGCGAAGACAGCAGCAGAGGAGAGGAGACAACTGCTTACCCATCCCTGAAGACGTCAGCAAGCTTCAGGAAGGCAGAATTGATGAGGATCGGGAACGGGTACTTCTCAAAGAGTTGGGGGAAGCGCACTATGGCTTCGCACTGCTCCCCGACCTTCAGAGAACGCAGACCTGAAATAGAAGACATGAAACGTATCCTTCAACAAATCTGGTCGCCTTTCACAATGGACAACAGGAAAGGACAGAATTGGGACCTTTCGCATAAAGAAAAGATTTGAAAGTCATACCCATAGCCGGACAACATGCATTTAGGATCTAGATTAACAACTCTTGCATGGCAATAGCAACTGACACAATAATGCAAGTACTTTTACACCAACGCAGTTCCTCTCACTTTCTTGGCACATTTGTCCCATAATGATGCAACAAATGCGGTCTTCCAATTCCAATTCATACGCAAACACTAGTACGCTACAGTATCACACACCTGCCAAAACTTGGGGAGATGCAGGGAATTTTCCTCCACTTCAGAAAAAAAAAGAAAAACACCCGATGCATCCCACAACGGCCTGCTCTTATAACAATCATTAGAACAGTAAGACTTCATGTGTTTCCCTCTTACCTTTGTCCAGCTCCAACAATGCCGTATTAGCATCTTGCTCTTGTTCTCCATATCCGGCATCACTGGGCATTGCGGACAGCCTCATGATCACATCCAAACCACACTGGCCTCAAAAAGAAAATAACTTTTGAGCAGTCGGGCAGTGGATAATGAGAGCAGCCATCACATCAACATAGGCCTACATGTTTTGCATTCCAGTTTGGGTACCAAACCAAGCCATGGCTGCTGCCAGGATCTTTATCCAGTGGGAGGAGGAAAACACTTGCCCTCCCACAGCAAACTGACACTATCAACATCACGAATGTGGATATGGTGGACAGGTGGAAATAGGTATTTTCAGGCAAATTGGTATTTGTTTAAGCCAATAATGCAACCTGATTTCCATGCATATGATCTTGCTAGGCAATGTTGGTTCCCTGTGATGGAATGTTCACACAGCCCATGGAGTTGAGGCAGCAAATGATGCAATGCATCATACGTCAATGGACTGGTCACCGTCCCTATGTTCGGAGGAACTGGGATGGGACAGGAACCGGTCTTCCGTTCAACGGACATGTGTCACACTCACAGTATGCAGCTAAAATGTGCATAGGCCCCTATCATTTGTTGAAGAGAGACAAGATCGATAGAAAAAAGTCTGAATTTTGCCAAAAAATGCTTGTTGTCAGTCCAAAAACCATCATGACTGCATGTTAATAACTTATTAGGGCCTATTTACTTAGTGTGGATGGCTTTTGGGGGAAAGATTTTTTGGGGGAAAGATTTGATTGAGAAAGCGCATTTTTCGGAAGAACAAATTGGCACATTCAAGCAATAAAAATCTGGAACTGTGAGTGTGACTGTGTACCTATCCCCACCAGCCTAGGTCTATGTCTAGCATGTCTAACGCAGTTTGGCGATAATGGCGATGGCATGACGAGTCCATGACCATGACAGTGAGCCCAACTTTACCTCCCAGTCCTACACGAAGTCTGACTCGTGTAAGATGTACCAACATGAATACTAGTGTGATGGAAAAGTTACATGAACCACGTTAGTATGTATGTAACATGCCTACCTTGTGCCAGACTACTCTACATCACAGAACGACAGGCTAGGTTTACATTTACAGTCACGGTCTCGCTTTTCCCTCTTACAACGTTTGCCGCCCTCTATAGTTGTATTAATAGAAGTTGGCGCCACCAAGGGCTTAAAAAAACCATTCAAAAAAAATTGTCAATAATAAATACAAACTTTTGCAAATAATTTTCATTAAGATGTTGAGATAAATATCAATTGTTTATTATGAACATGTTTTTCATTTAATGTTTTATTTTTAAATCAAAACTTCAATTTTTAATTTACGGGAACGAGGATAGTTTTCCCGCAACGTCAGGTGAGACGCGCCAAATTTTAACATCAAGTGATGCGTGTCGATATGGCAATGTGACCAGGTGATGAATGGTTGGACGTCCGGTTTGTTCGGCTGCCTGTTACTTGGGGCAATTTTATGTGGTCGTGACTCATCGACTTACGCCTTGCTCATCCATGTCATCGGTTTCCTTAAACTGAAACATGAAAACATGGTCTTGTCAATGACAACAGCAAGAGCTAAACACGGTTCATACGGTTCAAGAATACCCAAATATAAAATTAAAGGTGAGTGCGCTGCCCTGTCATGCCCGCTGTACTGCTGTAACGTTTGCCATGCGTATCTATGCGAGTCATGCTGCTAGGTGGTATACCCATGGTGTTGTTACTTCTGGAAACATATTAAGGTTTTTTACAAATCTTACATAGGGCAGTGGTACACATAGCCCCACTAGCTACTAGTGTGGCACGGACTCTCACTCCCGATCCATCCTTTGCCACTCATCCGTTTACGCAATTTCGTGTCGGCGTACTGAACATTTTCGGCGCACCCACTTATCATCGTGGGTGCAATTTCTTTTGCATACGAACATGATCCTTGACCTTTCCGTTTTCTAAAACCATTTATTGAATGATTTCACTCCCGTTATTCAGGTATTTTCTAGTCTTTTTGCCTTTATCCATTCAATCTAACAGGCTCGCTCTCTCAGTCGCCATCTTTAAAATAAGGTCGTTTGAACATTACGTCACTTGACCCCTCATCATCTCGACGGCTCTTAATGTCAAGACATCTAAACTGCTGCCAAAGTTTTGAAAGAGCCCATTGGGACAAGTAGTATCTTATCGCTCAGTCCGTTTATTACATATGTTACAAAGTCCACTTGCTCAAACCAACATTTTGACCTTAGGGAACCATTACTCAATCCTGATAGGCCTAGTCAGTGCTAGTTTAGGTAAATTTCGACAATATTTAAGCAAGAAAACTGCAAACTTCTGCAACCACTCAGTCGAATGATAACATTTTGTTTTGCAGCTGGTTACCTGACTCAGGCCTTTGGATTCATCAAAACAAATCTCCATCCAGGTCAAGGAACCAGACTACATTCATTTATTTGTCGTTCACAGCTCTCTTCGGGGCAGTCATGTACGCTGCCGTTTTACCCAAAATTTCTCTCAAAAACTCAGTTTACATTACAATAGCCTTTTATTTCCTACGAGTATACTCCGTCATAGTGGCAGAATGCGGTACACCTGTTACTATGAGTATACATGTATTCGTAGTCGGCAGTCAACGTGTTAATTGGTCCATTGCATCTCGATGACAGCTATCAACTACAGTGCAATTTGAGATGCTGTGGTTTAAACACACATTGCACGTCATGCTCAACGTGCCACGTGTAAACCCTGCATCAGTCACTTTTTTTTACCCTACAACTTATGTATCATATGTCATATCTGAGTCACATTGTTGAATGCCCATCCACAGCACCGTAATCATCTAGTTCTCAAATGCACCGTGACTATGTAACTGCATTCATGTAGCCAGCAACAGGGTGGTCACTTACACATATTTATCTTCCATAAAACAAGCCCTATTTACTGTGTATTCTTTTGGCATCTAAATTATTTTCTTCTCTTTGACCATTTTGACCATTAGCTCAACATGATGTGTGGGACTACTTGCATGATACAATGCTACGTCTTAGTTGCACATCAAATGACCAATACATCTTTGAATCTGAAGACCACACAGAGCAGGTTCCTCCATTTGCATGTAGCACCTCCAAGATGGCCAAAAGTCCTCATCTGTTGGCTGTGGTCGATGAGGATGGATTTGTGACTCTCTTTGACACGCGACACTCTGCCGAAGTTGTCAAAGGTAGGATTGGTTTGTTTCTGTTGTGTATGAGGTAACTTCAGTTTTTCACAATCTGTGGACAAAATTTGATGAATGATGAGATGTGAAGGTTTCCATGATGAAGTAGTTTGGAGAAGATTGCAGTAACGCCGTGCAACAAATATCTTTTTGGGGGGTTGGTGGGGTTCTGAAAAGAATTGGTGGACTCAGTGCTGGTTGCATCGTCCACCTCCTCGTGGTCTCCTGATAGTTGGTAGAGTGTATTGCCAAAATTTTTAGACCACCCGTTATTTTCAGAATGTACATAAGACATATTTCCTTCATGGTGCTACCACAGGCTACTCTACTAAACAGATGAAGATCGAACACCTTACGTTTATGCTTTTTTGTCAGTGTTTCGAGCGCACAAAAACGCTGTTTTTGACGTAGCCTGGGCCAGCGGTAGGAATCAGCTGGTGACTGCATCGGGGGATCAGATGGCAGGGCTGTGGGATGTAGCAGCTGGCAAGGCCCTCGGCATCTTCAAGGGTCACAGCTGTAGCCTGAAGTCGGTGTGTTTCCGACCCGGTGACAGTCACGTCTTTGCCACGGGAGCCAGGGATGGCAACATCTTGGTGTGGGATACAAGGTGCAACAACAGAGGTAATGTCTTGAAGAAACCTGCGGTCTGTCAAAATCAGGTGGTATTCCAAGCTTTGGTGACTTGTGAACTGCCGTAACTGCGGGATGCTCTAAATTTCACTGTAAGAATCTCAGGATAAGGCAGATACCATGATTTATTGCAACAGTAGCATCCAGCTTGCCGGAAAGGAAAAATATTCAGACATGCAGAGTAATTCCTCAACCACCAATCATCAACCAGCATCAAAGACACAAGAAAAGAAGTGTTCACCCAGCTACTTCAACACATCCTTACACGTCTAATGTTTTTGTACTATTTACATGTACGTGGGCAAGGACTGATAAGCTGAACAAGCTGATGAACATTTCACCCACTCCAGCTGGTCTCGTTTAACCTAACTAAGCCTACTGCAACATATTCAAATAACAGTCAAAATTAAATAGCCTGTACTCGGCCCAGCCCAACCCAAAATGGAGTTAAATCACCCAACCCAATTTAATTTTACCCAGCCATACCCAACTAATTAAACTCAACCAATCTTAACCCAACCAAACCCAGCCTAACCTTTGCCAACGCAACTTAACTTTACCTGACCAACCATACCCATTTCATCTCCAACTCAATCCAACGTCACCCATCATTCCAGGGTGTGAGAATTCAGCTTTTTAGCTGATTTCAGCTTTTTCTGTTTAGATATTGGCCCTGAATTTCAGCTTTTTTTTGTACACCTGGTCTGTACAAAGGTATGGGAACCATTTACATTTCAGCTTTTTGCCACTAAGTGGCCACTCACCCCTGATCATTGTCACCAGAAGCATTTCCTCTCATTGTCTAGGTGGAAATCAAGTCCCCCACCATACGGCAGTCAACGTTATCAAGGAGGCACATGCCGAGGCGTCCAAGCTACGCCACACCCCCTCCAGGAAGCGGAGCAGGTTATCTCCCTCGCTGCCAGTCAGGGGTGACAACCTGTCCAGTGTCACTGTCATCAACTTCCAGGATGACATGTCCTTGTTCTCAACTGGTGCTACTGACAGGTAAACAGGAATTGTGGAGAAGTATTTCTTTGTGTGTCAAAGATGCCATCCTAATCACAACTGGATGGTGATTCAGTATATTACTTTCTGTGCAGAGTTTGTTGGATCTAGAATCAACTTGATGCATAAGGTGTACTGCCAAGAGAGTTAGCAGCCAGTTTGGCCTTATCTCTCTGTGTTTTGTCACAATTGTACGTAGTGCCTACCAGTGGTTAGAGAACTTTAGGTTGCCGTCTTGACAAATTTTACTTACCTATCAAAATACCACATAACAAATACTAAAATGAAACTGCTATTACTACTGTACTGCTACTAGATGAAACAAATTCCTTCTTGAAATGCAATGAGGAAAGTATGCATTTGGAGGCAAAACCTGTCACTAAGCCAAAGGTGAACTTGCTGCAAACTTTGACTGCCCATACAAATAGTAGGAATGTGAGACAGGTTGATATTAGGGCTAAGTGAAACGTTCTCTAAAATGTAGATTTAACGTGTTGGAAATTTTTCACTTCTAACCGAATTTGAAAGTGAAATCCCATCAATTTAAAGGCTGTTTTGAAAGAGACGATAACTTCTGTACTTTAACAGATTTGCTTTGTTGTGCTGAAAATACAGGCACATAACAATTTGTAGATTTTTCTTAGGGAAAGAAAGAAGTAATAGAAAGTTCTGGTCTTTGTTTCTTTGTTCAGCACAATCAAAGTTTGGGATCTAAGGCAATGCAACAAGGGAATGAAGAAGGCACCAATGCCGAAACAGGTCTACCCTTATGCAGGCTCCAGCATCAAAAATGGTGGTAAGGAGCCATTGGTAGAATAGTGAATCTATGATTTAGCTTTACTCTTTAAAGATCACTTGCTTTAACGTGGCAAATGTTAATTTATTTGGAATAAATTATTTGGAATGCCTTGTGTGATGTTTAATTATATGTACAAAAGTGCTTGCACCACACACATTTCGACGTGTGAGTATTGCATGAAATGATTTAGACCTGCTGCCTGAAGGCTCATGTGGTTTTAATTAAAGGTCAGTGTAATAACAAATATGATCCCAACACTTTGTATTCTCTGCCAAAGTCCCTCTTTATCACAGAGTATCATCTCGCATCTTTCATTCTCCAAAATAGGTGCGTACTAACTGCATTAATACTCTTGTTCAACCTCAGGATTTTCGAGCCTCGTCTTCAACTCTTTGCGCACCGAGTTCTATGCAAATTGTACCGACAATGTCATCTATCGCTACAGTGCCCTAGGCTCCCCAACCTGGCCCATTGCAACTTACTCCGGTCACCTGAACTCCTCCTTTTGTGTGAAGAGTGCCCTCTCGCGGGACGATGGTCTTCTGCTCAGTGGCTCTGGAGATGGCAAGGCATATATTTGGAATGTACGCCAGGTTTTGGGGTTTTTTGGTTTTTTTTGTTTTGAGAGTGTTTCCTTTTCCATATGGATGGCAAAGTACATAAAAATAAATGTTCAATAGTTCTTTCTCCATGGAAAAATTGAGATGTTGTATTGGACACAGAGAAGGAAACACAAATGGTTGAAATGTGACTGTTTCCAAAACACAAAATAGTTGAGTTTGATTACTTCCCTCGTGTGTACCTGTGCTTTTTGCTTTTTTCACAGGTATAGATGCGCATACACAATCTGTTATTATAAATGAATGATCTTGGGTTGCTTGAGCAGCCCAAACTGGGCCAGAGGTCATGCCAACATTAAAGTTGCCCCATTAATAAAACTGAAAAAAGTCACGGCCATCCATACGCACATTTCTATCCTTGTTTCACAGAACTTACTTGACTTGAGCCACATTACCGGTTTTCTTATGAACTTTTAACAGCAGTGCTGTAAACTTTCCATTACATCATCTGACTTAAGGAACCATTTTTTCCTATTGTTTTGTACGGTACATTCCCAAGTAAACGGCTCGGCAGGTTGGTTACTTGGGCCAGGCCTGAGTAAGCCCGGTTGTCACATAAAGTGTCATATTGAACACAGTCTTGCTTGCATGAGTAACATGCTAAAAAAAAAAATGCCTTTCTGCATTAATTCAGTTTCAGTCATCAGTGGAAAGAGGAAATGTAGCTCTTTGTTTGGATTTACATATATCACTCATTTAACTTAAAAGTGACTCTGGCAACTTGGAACTCATTTTCTTAGTCGGGTCACCCGGATGTTCACAAGTGACTACATTGTTTGTTGCATGCACTTTGTCATGATTCCATCCACAACAGGTCAAACGGCCTCAAGCATCTCCCATCACTCTCTGTGAGCATAACGATGAGGTTACCATGGTTACCTGGGTAGAGGATGACTTCCCCAAGGTAAAATGCATGTGCTTGTTATGAGTGTGCTTGTCACTGCGTGTGGGTTTGTTGTGCAAATAGAATGCAGTGTATTCACATAGTCATACAATGAAGGTAGGTGAAAACCACTCACAAGTAGGTGGTTTATATACATGGTTCTTCCCTTCATGTCAATAAGCCCTTTGCAAGTTACATTTGAATAAAATCTGGTACACTTGGTTCTCTAAATTCACGTGAACACAATTTGAATTCTCCATACTAAAGACACTGTTGCTATACCACGTGATTTGGGGCAAGCTGTTGCTTAATGTACATAAGAGACGCCTTGCAACAATGCTCTGTTTTTGATGGATAAGAAGAGCTCTAGGAACCAGTCCATTCCAGAGATGGTGGTTGCTATCTTTCTAAAACAGCCTGCAGTTTCATTTATGTAGTCTCCTTAGAAAACACCCTCTGACTCCATCTGAACATTCCATTCTATGGCACGAAGTCATATTGTTACATTGGATGTTGTGACTCCAGTCTTTTGTCATAGGTTTCTTGACATGTATACATGTGACTGTTTTTCATTATCAGATCGTAACTGGTGCCGATGATGCCTCCCTTCGCATCTGGCGATTGCACAAATATGAAGGCCTGCCTACTCACCATCATGCAGAAAACGTACTCATCGGACACGCTGAAAAGTCAAACATTCAGAGTATGTGTCATCAGAGTGCTTTTGGTTCTTAAGAAAATAAAAACATCCTTTATAAGCCCAGTTTTCCAAATTTGAATATTAAATTTTGACATTGTTTCTTTGCGTGATTCATTTTTGAGTTCACATTAGCATACATGTAAAACTAACTGGTTTTTTAATCAAAAATAGCAGATTGGCTATGAAATTTGGTTAGTCAGGCTGATGGACTTCACTAGTCAGACTTGGTGTAGATAACATGAGAAACATTTCCTGTTGATACGTGTAGTCATTATACGGAGGGGGGATCAACAGGGAAAGTATTGAGGCTGTCTAGTTCTGCTATAAAGTTGAACACAACTTTTTTCTATTTCAAGGATGAATTGTGCTGGGCAGATGTAAATTAATTTTGGATTTTTTGGGGGGGGGGATTTTTTTATTTTTTTAAATTTTTTTCCCTGCCCAGCGTGTATATCTGATTCGAACCAAACCAACCGACACTGGCAAGCTCGGTGGTCAAGTGGTTAAGACATCTGCACTAGTAATCAGGAGATTGTGGGTTCGAGTCCCACCCGAGTACACTTGTGGTTTTTTCACAAGCCTTTGGGGGCATACACTGAGCATACAGTGTTAAAATACACGTCGGGCAGGGCACAAAATCAAAAATTAATTTACAATTTTTTTCTCTTGCAGTGAAGGAGAATTTACCACCTGTTGCCCAAAACATTGCCCTACAAACGTGTCATTCCACACCCCCGCGGCTGGGCAGAACCGCTTCACATGAACATGAAACTATGAAAGGCACCTCATTCCCCCCAACAACACCCACAACTCCCAAACCTCCAGTCAGACGAAACTCTTCGATATCTGAATGGCTCAAGAACAGCCCAAAAAGCGACACCAGATGTAAAGCAGCTACCCAAGATGTTGAGAACTCGTGTCCAAACACCAACCTTGAGAACAAGGATCCTCCCCCACCAAAAATGCCAAAGGAAAAGCTTACCATTCTCGGAACTTGTGTAAATCCAGATCATTTCAATAATGGCAGCATCAAAGTGAGTGGCTTGGAAAAGATTGTTGTCAGCTCAAACTCAGATGTTTTTGACCTTCAAGATAACAGAAGTACCTCCAACACCAGAGATGCCAATTCTGCTTCAGAGGGGGATGACAGTTCTAATTTGGAGACGTGTAAGAGGTCATCAAGGTATTTGGATATGCCAGAGAAAAAAAGGAAATCAGAGATTCTGGAGGGTGTGTCAGCAGCAAATGATAAAGACAGTGATAAAAACATGGACTTGGAATCAACTTTGAGTTCAAGAAGCAACAGAAATGATCACCAGGAGGTATTTTCAAATAAGAACCCGCAGCATAGGCCCAATCCTTTGAGGTCAACTGGAAACCAAATGAATTGCCAAAGCTCAGATGATAAGTCTGCTGATTCTTTTTGTTGCAAGACGGTGCATTTGAAAGCTGCTGTCAGAGAAATGGACACAGATTTGAAAGAATCTCCTCATCCTGGTCAAAAGCGCAAGAGGAAAGAGTCAGCTGAAGAGTTACCCTCTGAAACCGAAAGTCTAAAGAGTGGCAATCAGATTCCAAACAGTTCTGACACGATAGCTGCTGTATTCCCACCGGGACTGGTGAAGCGGAGCAGAAGTCTTGATTTGCAGAGGGATGCGGGCAAGAAGAGGACAATAGCGAGGGGCTCTTTGACAAGCCACGCCCAGCATCAGGTGTGTACATGTAGTTGCTCTGGAAACCACAGGCACCCACCCAGTAATTCTGCAGCAGGTAGTGGAGCCGCCAACGATGATGTATCAACCCAAACCACAGAACTGAAGGACTGTCAAGATGGAACATCTTTAGGCAGAGACACACCAAAGGTATACATCGTTCTTGATTTAAAACCTTTACCTAAGAGGAGGTTTTCAAGTTTCCTCTTTTAACAAACTTATATAACTTTTGGTTTGGGATAAGTTTCCTATCACTGCTTTGAATGACCATCTAGATCAGTCATCAATATATGTGTAAATCCTTATATTTTGAGCATTTGTGTTTCAGGGGAAAATATTTTTAATTAATATATAAAGTGGTCACTTTTTTTAGATTCAGAACCCAGCGACCGACATCTTCAATGTGCATGTGGCTGGTGCACCATGATCACCTACGCTTATTTCCATTTCCTCACCTATGCCTGTCTCACATCTGAAACTGAGATTCCCCAGTGAAAGTTATTATAATGGAAAAGTTTTCAAACTGACCCTTTGACTCTAACACATAAATAGTCCTCCAACAGCTAAGAATTAAGGGTTACAAGGGTTAATCAACCACCAGACGGGGTCTAGAATGTATTTGTTCACAACATAGAATTCTAATATTTCATTGTTCTTGACTCTGACAGATGAGCAACTGTAATGGATCAACTAAAAACATCTGCTTCTATTTTCGGCCACATGCCAAAGAGGTCAGAAGGTCCTACTCTGACAGCTCCCGGATAAAGAGCGATTCCTCACCAACCGCAACTACATGCAAGTCAGGTGACTCAAAGTGATATATCAGTATGGACCATGTGCAAGAGCTGGAGAACAGTTTGCATGGTTGACTGGTGATGAGCACCATTTTGTGACCTCTACTGCAAGTCCACCACCATGAAGTATTCTAGTTATTACAGAAGTATTCCGTTGTCATTGCAGTTGTGAACTGACTTATTGTAATCAGGCTGGTGAGAAACTCAATTGCAACATTGGTTGGGACACTGATATTTTCCTTGTGGTACTGGTCATATTGAATTTAATCCTTCCACCTTACCCCTCACCTTCCCTAACCAAACAGAATTAAACAGTAGTACATGTAAAGTGCTTAAATCTGTGGGGATAGGTCTGGTAGGCCCATAACAGCTGGGTTGCATTGGGTTTGGCATACCTCAGAAAAACAAAATCCAACAACCTCTGTGCACAAAGTCCCATATGGGTGTTTAACTTTGTGTGAATGGGGAAGGTTAGGGTTAATGCTGTTAAACAGTGCTAAGCAACTGACACACCATTTAATTTCGTTTATGTAGTCATTTTTCACTTTTGTGTAGTCAAACGATGGGAGACTGTTCGTGTATTACAGTACAGTATGTTCCGGAATTTTACCAAACAATCTACGCGAAGGGCAGAACAAGCAGTTACTCCTGTGTTTTCAGTAAGTTTACCCTTTCCCATTAAAGGAATAGCTCCATAATGCCCCCTTCCACCAAAATGAATAAAATAGAAAAAATTTGAAAAAGATACCAAATAAAAGTTTTCAGAGCACAAATGTCACAAACCGAAATGGCGTGTTGTCTGCCCAGTACTGTCGTCATCTCTCCTATGCAGCATTGGAACTAAATATATTCAACCAACAAAATGACAGTTTATTACATTTCAATTGGTACTTTATGATCATTTTATTCAATCTTTGCAAAGTTAATAAAAGAAAGCCTAATTGTGGACAAACTAATGACAAGTGTACAACTGTGCATTTGACAAATGTGGTCCATGTACACGTATATGCAGGGTATCTAAAACAGTGTGCCTATTTCAACAGAAATGAGGTCAGTTTAATGCCCCTTGAAGCAAAATAGATTTAGCACATTTAGTACATGTCACAATAGTGCCTTTGGTGACCATTTTAATCTACCTGTAGCTGCATCTTGTCCAAGTCTGTTGTCTCGTTACAAATCATATGTTAAAAACATGTAACTAATGACTTTTTGTGGCACTTTATGTACAAAGTATACAAGTGAAGTTCCCTTGCATCAACTTCAAAACACTGACAGGACACCTTACTATTGCAAGTGTTATTTACCCGTTATGGTTCCAATTAACCATCATGTGACATCTCTGGTGTGTCCGCCTAAGGTGACACATTCACAAAGCATATACAGGTTGAACAGCTTATGATCAGGATTTCTATTTGGTATCAGGACCCCCACTGCACATACCTTTTGGGGCTTGGAACAAATTTCTGTATTCATAACTTGAAGGAAATTTGTGACAAAAAACGATGTGGTGGAGCAAATTGTTTACAGTACATCTAAACACCAAGTCTAATTTGAAGCTGTGCATGGTGTAATAGAGGGATTTCACATTAGCGCTGTCTGCACATATCCACATCGAAACCCAGGCTCTCTGTGTTGAGCTTCGTCGGCGCTCGCCCGCGAAGTCGACACAGTACATGGAGTATCCGGTTCCTAAGTGTGAGGCCACTTCAGTTTAAACCACGCCCACTGCACATGCAGATAGACGACCATCGCAGGTACGGTAGTTTGCAGTAAATCCCGTTATTTTTCTTTTGGTTTTACATGTCAAGTCATTCTGAAAGACTTCCACAAAAATTTGCAGCCAGAAAAGTCTAAATTTAACATACCTTTATGTACTTTGTGTCTTGACTCCTTACTTGCAATCGTCTGATCGAATTCAGAATTGAAGCTGACACATACAGCCTCGTTTTCAAACGCAGAAGTGCGCAGATCGATGCTAAAAGCATCGTACTGGGATCCCTCTATACTAAGATAGACAATAGCTTTCAATTACAACCGTATCTAATGAGAGTTTTCCCAACAGTAGTGAAAATAGCTACCTGATCCAGAACCACACCTCTGCAAAGCAGAGACACAGTTGTACCCGAGCACTATCCTCTACCTTAAACTGCTTTAATTCCCCTATTTCATTGGCATCAATGTAGCCAGCTTAAATAAAAATGTGTTGATATATTAAGCTGCAAATCAACAACATGTCAAAAACAATTGTCCAGGTTCCCAGCCCCATTATATGTAAATGCATAGGAGTTTAAGACAGTGACTTGTGTGTGCAGGTAGCGCTGCCTTTTACTTGAGCAGCTAACACAAACATACTGCGGCATGCTGTGATTCGACAAAACCCAACTTACAACAAAATGTCCAACTGATTTATGACCAGCACTCCACACATATACCACTGACACACTATGAATTTGTTGGTTTTCAAGTCTTGGCTATTTAATGCCAAATGTCTGTGAAAGCTGGAGTTACAATTGAAATGCAGAGCCTGTGACAGCCTATACATGGGTGCAGATGATCCACACAGGATCACAGCCCCCCAACCCCCCCAAAAATGGACTAAGGTTGCTCTATGAACAGGCACATAACCAGGGTTTGGTTTGCCCACTGAAATAGCAGAAGTTCATCCCGTTTCCCGACTTCCACCATTCTGCTCTTGCTTTTTACCTCTCCATCCCATTTGCTTTATTGAAGCATGGTGGAGACCAGGAGGGCGCTATTTGAACTTGGTTCAAATTTGGAGTTAACACTACAGCTTTCTTCCAAACCAAATGCACATAGCGCTCTCCTATTATGTCAGCCATGCCTCAAATAGGCTTAACCACTTCCTGCCGCGGCATTTATCAATGTTGATGATGCTGGGGGCGGCATATTTATCATTTTTTTCTGTTTTCAAAATTCTTTAAACATTCCTATCTTCATTTACTGGACACTTACAAACACATGAAGGACTGTCTGGTGTCCACTCTAGCCAGACAGACGAAATCTACTGACGCCTGAGTATTTCAGCCAGGCCTGCAGCCTTGTAAAGAGAGCCCAGATTTTGTGGTGTTATGTAATATTCTTTTGTTCACGAACGTGGCTCAGTGTGCTGCTGTGGCTCATCGCTGCAGTGGTGGAGTGCTTTTGTCTACGGTGGTAATCCTCTCACTCTAAATGCCCCAAACCGTGGTATACTGTTTCAAAACAAGGCAGGATTATCTCCATTTTTGAGAGTGAAAAAATGTTGTGATGCCCAGCAGCCTGGTCTTTTGTTTCAAGTATGGTCTTTTGTTGCAAGGCCCTGTTCCCTTTGTCCCAGTTCAGAGACCCCAGCCACGCATATACAGCATAAGTGGCCGGATCCGGAGTCCCTGGCAGGAAGTGGTTAATGCAACCTACCACTCTTTAACACCCAACCCATGTTAACTATGATGGTCTTAGAAATGTAGGGTCAATTTCATTACACTCATTGTCATTTCAGTTATGTGTTCTGTGAAATCAACTCACTGGCCATACTGAATGTGACTTGGTGTAAACAACATGGTGCTTGGCTGAGTTAGGCTGGTAATCCATATCAGGGAAAAAGAGACCAATATTCACGGGAGTAAAAAACCTGTAGGTCACCAGAACCAATTACAGGAAAGTGCTGTTCAACCCATGCAGTGCCTTTTTTTTTCTGACAAAAAAATCACAGCTTAACGTTTACAGGCTTTAACAATGAACTAAATGATAGCATATGGGACTTCTTTACTTTTATAGACTGAAATCCAAATATTGACCTCCAGAAAGTTAAGAAAACTGAAAAAAAGAAGAAGGAAATTGGGATTTTGATTGGTTTAAGTTTCAACTGACTGGGTACTTTAGTATTAGTTTTTAATCTCGCCCCTAAAGATGCAATAGACCTGAAATAATAATGCCATGCTTCATTTGCATGTACATGTACATCTTCCTATGGGGTTGATAAATCCTGTATCCCCTCACTGCTGTGGGAGAGTGCACATGTAAACAAATCATGACGTCGTGTTAAAAGTCTGTAACAGGTACAGTGTACTTAGAATCTTGTTGCATTAGGAAGAGCTAGGGTTAACGCATTCAATCACCATTTGCACCCCTACAAAACACCATGTTAACATCATTTTGAGACAATTAAAAACAGTGGGTGCACCACAATAAGATACAAATTACAGTGAGAACTGCTCCAGAAATGACAGGCAACCTCGTGACACTGGCAGTCTTGTGAACAATTCCTGTCAAAGTGTCAAGTTTAGGTGTTGCATTTTGAATCAGGTGTTTCACATTTTCAGCACGAGTATTTAATGACACCGTAACGTCACGAGAGTGCCACAATTTGCATTGCCTAGGCCCCCCCCACTATAAACCAGCGCTCCAGATATTTTGCATAATCACTCTCTTGTCCCAGAGCACCACAAACATCTCGGATTGCATGTAAGTATTGAAGCCATGTCAACCAACCCATCAGTCAGTGGAAAGCATTGACATGTAATGCCTCTACACAGACTCTAGGACAATCACTTAACATGTGTTACAGTACTGGGTCTTTCCTTGTCTTAGCGTCTAAACGCTGGAGATGGATATCACACACTGGTGTGATATGGTAAAAACTACAAGACCAGACACAAGCAACAGGGCGAAGAGTAACAAAGGAATGCATTTGTCCCAGTTCATTTGAATAGCTTTTGAGCCGAATGCAGACTGCAGGCCTTGTGTTGGTCTTGTGGGGTCTTGTGATTTCTTAAGAGATCTTAACTACAACATGGTCACATGTGAGTAACCTAAATGTACACAAAAGACATTTAATCTTTTATTCTAAAGCAAAAGATAACTGTAAAATAGTGTGCAGCACCGCTGGTATGGGTCTCTGACTTGCTTAGGGAGTCAAGGACTTTAGAAGTCCATCCTTGTAACCTGCAGTCAATTTCACGAAACGTGGTGCAACTTTGAACCATGTGTAAGCCTTGTGCCACAAATTTACGCTGTAGCTGAGCTATATATTTATGTTCGATTTCACGAAAAGTTGCATAGCTGCGCCATATTCTAATATTAAATTTCTTGAACGAGGGCAAAAATGGCTTTTATGACGGCTGTTCCTTTCCAATATAACAACAATCATCAAACAATCAGTGAATCACCTCCGCCTGCAATTTGAAAAGTGTTCATCTTTTCTTCGTCAGAACCGGACAGAAAATCTCGCAGTTCTCTTAGTTTTTCATTATTTTCTACAACAAGGCTGTACGTGTCTCGTATACGCCTTATAAAATTCAGCAATGATGAGGCTTAACCGAACATGATAAGCTAGTCAAATCATTCCTTACTGCGTAAGTTATGCCATAATTTGTTGTATAAGTCATGAAATCGCATAAGTGGAGTTACGCCACTGTCTAAAGTTTCGTAAAATTAACTGCTGATAACAAAGGAAGGAATAACACTATTCCCTTATCAGTTTGTGAGAGCAAGCCTGACTGACTGAATGAAGGACATTTGTTAGGTCAAATTTAAACTTTAGAGGTTAGAATCCCTTGGATCAGTGCCTTTCCAGGTAACTTCTCTTCTAATGGTTTGGTACTGGTAAACCTGCCAGCCATCTTGTGTCCATCTGACCGATGGTGCTCAAGAGCGAGTCCAGCTTCCCTTCCAAAATGCAGCCACGAATACTGCCATGTCACTCATCACCTCCCATGACAGAGCACTATAAATACTAAGAATGATTAAAGCTGTTAAGCCATACCAATCTGTACAAATACGTGTACATGTACATGCATAATATGTAGGGCTTTTACGCCCACACCTACGATCTGACTCTAAACATACCTAGACATGACCCAACATTTTTAAATAAAACAAAAATACAGGTTGGTTTGTTTGTTTATCCTGATTAACCTGTAGCTGTAGAGGGCGCGAGTTTCTTTGATGTGCCCTAGAAAAAGTCACACGAACAACCCGAGACAGACGTGAATGCAATGCGTGTCCACACATTTCTACCTAGACTATTCACGGAGAACACATACACGTAGTTGAAGACAGTGTTTGCAGACTCAAGTTGGATTGCTGACCACTGGGGAATGGTTACTCAGAGTCACGTGACACGGCCCGACTATTCCACCATGCATTATGTAATAGCTTCCAGTTTTAGTAGTGCACTTCCGGTTTCAGCAGCACAAAAGCACAAACGTTAACAGCGTTAATTGCTGGTGTAGGGAAAAACTCAAGACAGGCATTCTGGCTGGTAGTGTGGTGGAAAAGAAAGTGGTGCATCCAAACCAGTCACGTACTGTAGAAAATTGTGTCACTCTGCATATTAATCTTGTCATTCCAAAACAGTCAATATCTGGCTTAGTCTCCAAGTCACATGAAAGAAAATGTTCAGACTCAGACATCAGCCGAGCCGCTTCCCCAGTTTTCAAAGTCCGTTTACCGCGCAGCATGGGTAGCCAGGTAACACCAGCAGTTGAAAAACTCCTCGAGCAAAAGAAGTTCTCGCAATGCACAACACCAGATCCAGTGATGACATGTCAATCCACAAATCCTGGCCTTTTTAAAAAAAACACTCTTTAACACCTTAGGCACTCTCCAAGGTCACGTCTCCATGTCAAGTCAATTCCTTGTTAGCGCTTCCACTTCACCGACTAAAAAAACACTACTGTATCAATTATATAAAAAACACAGGACACAAGTTCTCAAAAAGTTCCGAGGATAATGCCTTCACTGTGACGTTCGTCCATTTGGAGAGCTAAGCCACTCCCCCAAGGTTTACATCATACTTCTGTGCTTCCATCGCCCTCTGAAACAGAACACATACAATGCGAAATGTTACCTAAATAATGAGGGTACTTCACTATTAGCTTCATTGGTACTGCTGGGGTGAAGGACATTGGGGAAAAGAGTCCGATCATTTGGTCTGATCTTTAGCCAGAAAATAACAAAGTAGGGTGTGACTACTGTATTTCTAGCCACTGTTACACTTATCCTCACAATAAAACAACACCTATCTGACCATTTTGTACCAGAGTTGCCTTCTTGGTGAACTTCCGTCCTCACCTAGCCTGGCTTCCCTTACCTGACTCGTCTGGTCCCCAGACACGGATGGTGCAATCGTCAGAGACACTGACTAGCATGTTGGGAAGCACTGGATTCCAGGCTACGCAGTTGACGGTCCGTGTGTGACCCTGCAGTACTGCAATAGGCATCTCATCCTTGACGTGCCATATGTAAACGTTATTGTCTGCAAGAGGATACAGATTCTATCTTACCCAGACACTTTCAATCTACTATCCAAAAGCCTTTACGGTAAACACAGTTGACTCAATATAAAGAACGCTGTTATAAAAAATTACTGTTATGTGGAGCAAATTTCTGTCCTTTTGTGACAAATTCTGGTTATAACAAGGTAAGCAGGCTGGTCCAAGTACATGTACATGTATTAACTTTGTTATGCAGACAAATCTGACGCGACGCCATTCAAAGGGGCCATTTACTCTCGCGCAGCTGTCTCAAGTTGAGCACGCATGCGCACTTTGGCAATTGACTACTGCCGATTGGTCAAAGAGGAATTTCACACACACACCTACCGCCTGCTGTGATATTGTAAACCATCCTTCATTTAACAACCTGTTTTAATTTGATGCACTTCCATGAACGTCTAGAAGAACTCACCCCCTTCCAAGCTGGGAACACAGTTTTATGTAGTTTACAAGTGTATTCCTCCATTTTTTTGAGTCGAGGGGAGTCCAAATGCAGGTACTGCATTCACCGTACTAGTGCCAAATGCTGTCAAGAAAAATTTTATAGGCTTCTGCACGAGCATGGTAAACCCACTAGGTTTCATTTTCACTAGGGAGCCTAAGAAGCCACGACTCACTGGCAAAGAAAAGATGGGCTGGTGGGAAATATGTAACCTTGGTGTACGGCGCACAAGTGAAGACTATACATTCCATAGATATCTGCCGTGCATTCCAACAGAAATTGGTCATGTGTGTTCCGTGCCTCCCATAACATATGAGCATTAATCTGTACATGAGTCTTAACCACTTCATGCTGGGGCATTTTCCAATGTGGATGATGCTGGGCCGGCATGACTATCATTTTTTCCGTTTTCAAAATCCTTCATAAATTCATCATTTCATTTAACGGTCATTTACAGCCGCACCAAGTAATCTTTAGACACTGCTCTAAGTTGACAGGTGACCTTCACTGATGTCCGAGTATTTCAAGCCAGGCCTGCAGCCTTGTAAACTGAGCCCAGATTGTGCGATGTTATATAACTGTCTTTTGTTCAAGAACCTGGCTCAGTGCACTGCTGACCTCTTTTCAATAGGGGCCAGATTAGCATGCAGCGGTGCTGTGTGGCTCATCGCTGCGGTGGTGGAGCGCTTTTGTCCCCGGTGGTAATCCGCTCGCTCTCAATGCCCAAACCCTGGTAAAAAGTTTCAAAACAAGGCTGGATTATCACCACTTTTGAGAGTGAAAATTTTGGTAATGCCCAGCAGCC